GCATTCCAGATGTGTAGCACACAGAACAAATGAGCCAAGTGATTCAATACGTGAAAAATATGTGGTGATGTGTGTGAAATAAAGGAGAGCATTATTGATTTCATAGAAATTGGTGGAAAGACAGGAGAATGTATTTCTCAATGGATTGTGGAAAAATTGACACTTGATGGTTTGGATATTGACAATGTCATGGTCAATTTGAGGATAATGGATCTAACATGGCCAGTACTTATCGGCCATATTAGATCCTGGAGTACAAGCCAGGATTATACAGAAATGAATAAGCTGGCCAAATATGTGCAATGTTTGGCACACTCTTTGAAACTTGTCTGTCTGCTCTTTGCCTCGTCTTGCCCCGAAGCAGTTAACTTCTTTGGAATCATCCAGAAGATATTGAGCTTTTTTGTTGGATTCACTATTCGATGGGATATTACAAAAAGATGTCCAAAAACCAACTCAAAAAGAAGCAGCCAGACAAGATGGTCATCAAAATATGTGACTGTCAAAGCCCTTCTAACGAATTTACCAGAAGTACTAAAATCCTTGAAAGAAATTAATTATCTTTCAAAGTACTATATTACTATTTAAAAATTAATTATCTATCAAAGTACGAAGCAGGACATCTGCTACATGTTGTAAAAAATTTTGAATTTATTATCAGCCTGTTAATTTGGGCTAATATTCTTCGAGAAATCAATCGAATAAATACTGAAATTCAAATGGAAGATACAGTCAAAAGTCGTTAATTCGGACCTCGAAGCTACAAATTTTCTGCGCATGCGTCACGTTGACGCGTGCGCGTAAGACCTTTACGGCTGCGAATATGCGTGTGCGCAAGCGCATAATACGTTTACGCGTGCGCGTTTAATATAACGGACGTATAAGCTAAGCTAAATTATCTAATCAGTTAATGTTGCAGATTGCGTTGTTTCCTTAATCTTTGAATTGATCTGGCTTATATTTTTTGCAGACTGTTAGAGCAATTTTATAAAGTAAGCTTGAACTTTCGATTATGTCAAATAGAATTTCCGATATATTTACTAATATGTAAAGGATCTACAAAGCGAAAGTATGTTTTGAAATCCGAAATCTGTTTATCAATTTCACGCTCTATGCGGCAGGGGGGGGAGAAACGCCGCGGCGCGCAATTAATTGAAGTTTATCTGTCATCCTTAACACTATCCTTATCTTCAGAGCAGATGTTTTTATTTTATTTGGCTTATAATTCCTACTAAATGTAGTATTTCATCTCGATGTACTCCTCTTTGATATGATTTAAATCAGTTCCTCGTCATTATAATCGCTTCCGATAGTGAAGAAAGTGAGAGAGAGGTTATTGAAACCGAAAACATTTCGATTGACAAATTAGTCGGTATTCTCGACACAGCAATTATAGGACTTCAACAGCGGAACTTTGTAACTAACAGAAATTATGTCTGTTTAATAGAATTAAAAGAGAAAGTATTATCACTGAAACGAAGCAACTTAAACACTTGCATTGAAGAAATGTTTAATAAAGTAAACAAATAAAATTAAGCTTTTTCTTTTTGTAAATTGTGATACCCTTTAGATCATAATTGTCTTTATTTCATAATTTATGGTTCATATTTTTAATTTTGTAATTTCTGCGTGCCATCTTACCAGATTTAAACTGATGATCTATAATCCGGAAAAATCGATAATCCGGAATCGCCGAAGTCCCGGCGAGTCCGGATTAACGACTTTTGACTGTATTATTCTTGTGCATTCTGTTGCATTAATGGAAGGTCTGACCAAAACTTTTCAAAAAATGAGAGAAATTCCTATGGAATATTGTATAGAAGTAATTAAAGCGGCAGCCAAAAAAAATACAGGTTGAACCTATTCTGACAAATAAACAAATTCTAAAACGCAAAAAATAATTTGATGAATTGTGCGAGGACGAATCACGAACATTTCATCGTGTTCAGCTACTTTCTAATGCAATGAAAATTGTATTTAATTGAATCTTATCAGAAATTAAAACGAGGTTAAACAGGGCTATTACACTAAATTCAAATTTCCATTTTTCAATGGTTGTGAAATATTGAATATGTCAACTGAAGAAGTGCAAAAGAATGGAGCAGATCTTGTATGAAAATATGAGCGAGATCTCTAAACGCATTTGAGTTTTGTCAGGAACTGCCGTTTTTAAAGAACAAGCCCCAATGTTATTCGTTGACATAAAAAAAGGCTAGAGCTTTTTATCTCTTGCAACAGATCTACACCTATGATTTTCAGGATGCCTTTCACAATATTTGTATTGCCCTGCAGATTTACTCTATGCTTCCAACTATATGCACAAGCTGTAAGCGAAGTTTTAGCAAATTAAAACTTATTAAAAACTATCTGAGATCATTGATGAGCCAGGAGCATTTATCAAGTCTCGCAACAGAAATCAAACAACATCTTATGACTTAATTATGATCAGTAATTAAACTTGATGACATAGATTTATTTCAGAACAAAAGGCTTGCAGAGTAATTTTAATTTGTAATATTTTAAGAGCATTCGGTAGACTTAAAATTATTATTGAAATAAATTATGAAAAGTACAATACTAACCTTTTCCTTTCACAGTACCCGTTTGTTGTAAGTATAGCTAATAAAGTTCGTTATGTAATTAATCAGCTCATCTATTGTCCTAACTTATGTAATCTATTGTTTGTAACTAAAGATAATTTTTTTACGAGTGCATAATCAAATGTATCGAAAGATGTATATAATTTTAAAGGTACCATAAGGTATTTTTCATTCTTTAAACGTAACATTTTTGCTAAAATCTTCTTTAAACTTAACATTTTGTATAAGCATAACTATACAAAACTAATCTATAACTATTATCCATCACACAATGAATGTTTCTTTCATGCAGAAGTGTCCCGATTTTCGATTTGTATGGAAGTATCATGTGTCGAATTACTATCAATGCGCTGTCAAGGGAGGTTCTGAATGTAAACAAAAACACCTCATCTGGAGACCGAAGCCCTCGGAGCAGTGCTTCACTCACAGTGCGGGGTTGGCCCCTCCTTTCTTTGTTACCTCCATGGTCTGCTAATTATGTTGCAAATTTGCAAAATTGAGTATTTAGAGAAAATGTATTTGATTATACAGTACAAAAATAGTCTTTTGCATGAATATGTAAATATTTATTATGTTACCGGGCTTTGTGAGACGATAGTAGAGTTCTTATAGGCTATATGAAGGTGTTATTGTGAAATGAATATTTAACGTGCTAGGTTAAAATTACTATTTGTATCGAGAAATTGGTGCAAAATTATTCAATCCATTGTATTAGTGATTTGTAATTTGCTTATATATTTGTTTAAATGAAATTTTCTATAATTTAGTAATGTCTGATTCCCACTTTTTGTGCTGTGCTGAACTATTTTAGCATTTAGTTCTGAATCGTTTTCTATTAGTCATTTATTAGTATGAGTAGGTATTGTTGCAAATATTGAAAAAAATCCCCATTTCAGGGAAAATGTAAATTTGATTATTTCAGTGCGCTGGAAAAGTAACTGCATTAAGAGGGTTAGCACGGGTTTTTAATTATGTAACTTTTGGTATGTATATTTGGCCACCAGCGGATGAGATGTGAAGTCTGAACACTTGTAGTTTGGTCGGGGGTTAGAATCAAGCGAATCAGCTGGCTGTATGGGTGTTTCCTCCATTTCGCTCATGCGTAACTTGCATATGAGCCAATTACTCTTAGAAAGACCTCAGCGAAGACATCTTCCCTCTTAGGCAGGTAGCTCTCTTATGCTTTACCATAAATAAAGAAACTAAACCATTTGTTATGCATATTTCTTTTAGAACAAAAATGGCACATAAAGATTTCTTACTATAAAATGGATTTTACATTTTATCTCGAAAACTACCTATTTCTATGTTTATTTAACAAAACTGAAATTTGTTACAGAAACTTAAAGAAAGATGGGTAAGGACGGCAATTTTAAGTTTTTGCCCCGCCTAAGAAAAATGCTAAATCCAGTGCTGTAATATCATTGTATCCAACATAAAGTTGTCGTCAAATAACTCCAGTACAAAATTTTTTTGATTCCACATTCAGCAATCAGCAGTGATTGCTCTATTAAATCTACCTCTGATCAAACACGATAATAGTTTCAAGTGTGGTATAATAGTACAATTATTTCCTTAAAACCAAATAGATTCTTGCACAAGACTAGATAATTTTAACTGACAACTGTTCACTTTTTCTTTATCCTTAAGAAAATACATTGTTCTTATACAGAGATAATTATTATATGATATTACTTATGCACTGTTCTTAATACAAGGGTTTCCTTGTGTCATTATGATCACATTCCTTTTCCCTGCCTCAGCCATTCATTGAACCTTTCTTTAATTAGATAAACATGTAATATCCATGAATACACTTGTGAAATATCTCTTGATCATCCAGCAACATTTGTTACTGGATGGGTACTTAAATTGGCAAGATACAAAGGTACATATTCCTAAGGATTTATTTCCTTTTCTGTTTTCTACTCATAATGTGTTCCGTGGTGATCACACATTTATTGATCTGAATGTTGCATTTAGCACTTAAATATCCTTTAAAATGCTCACATTTATAACTGCTGTTTTATTTGTGCATAATTATCTCCAGAACATGATTTTTTCGGCAAATATGGGAAAAATTAAAACGAAAGACTTCAAATTAAAATAAAACTACTACAAATTAAAAGAAAGTGCATTGAACTTGTCATCAACAAAGATGAGATATTTAGTTTCCATTTCTTAATACTCTGATCAAATCAAATGCAGATTGTAACAAATTTACGAAGATTTGAAAATTGCATAATCAAATTCAAACACTGGCTTTCAAATATAAGTATTAGTGACAAACTAAACAAGTAATTACTTCAGTTAAAAACATGCATTCTAAAATTCAGTACAAATTGAAAAAACAGCCAAAATTTTATATTACAGATAAATTAAATATGCATAATTCCTTACTTTTGATTTTAATATTTCAGCAACAGAGAAGCATTTAACAGCACCATCCAATAATGAAACACATAAAATATCGTTCATTATTTTGGCTCCAATAGTCCAATCTGCACACCTGGAAACAAATCATAAAAATTTTAAGAATATAAGAAGCAACATATTGCATCTGAATAACATAAGGAAAACTTCAAAACTCTGTATAGTTTGAATAATACATTCTATGTTATAGAAGGTTTGGTTACTTTAAATATGGCAAAGCCCCGAAGGCTATCTGCCTAAGAGAAGGAAAGCATTCCTAGAGGACTTTCTAGGAGAAACTGGCTCGTTTCTATGTTACATACAGGAAAAACTAATCATGCAACCAGCTTGCTCCTGTTTTTCAACTAATACATTTGAAAACATGAATACATCTATACAAAAACCATCCTAGGACCTCAGCAAAACTTATAATTTTTCCAAATCTGCATAATCAAGAAAAGTGCGATATTAATAAAAGTTAGGAAAAGGAATTACAGTACAAAGTCCGAGATCCAGACTCGTCGGGACTTATGCAATTCCGGATTTGGAATTTTTCCGGATATTAGATCATCAATTTAAACCTAGTAAGATGGCATGCAGAAACAATTAAACATATGAAGTCGTGATTTATGAAATAAAGAGCATTTATGATGTAAAGGGTATCAAAATTTACAAAAGAAAGCTTAATATTTATTTGTTTACTCCCACTAACTCGATTTCTTTCAATGTAAGTTATTTAAGTTGTTTTGGTTTTTGTGCTAATATTTTCTCTTTAGTTCTGTAGACAGACATAATTTCTTATTCAGTTACATTGTTGAAGTACTGTAATTGCTGTGTTGAGAATTCCAACTAACTTGGCAATTGAAATTTTTTCGTTTTCAGTAACCTCTATGTCACTTTCTTTACTATCGGTAGTGGTATTTTCTGTAATGTTCTGGATCTAGAACTATACTACAGATTTTGCCAGTATTTTCTGGATGTAGACCCAACCACACTACAGATTTCGCCATCTATTATTGATTGATGAGCATTGTCATCACAATGAAAAACTTCTTTATATCATCTTCATGCGGACTCGTCAGGGCTTCGGTGATTCCGGATTTGGGAATTTCAGGATTAGATCATCAGTTTAAATCAAGTAACGTGGCATGTAGAAATTATAAAATTAAAAATATGAAATTATGATTTACAAAATAATGAAGTATTTATGATCTAATGGGTATCAAAATTTATAAAAAAAAGGTTTAATATATATTTGTTTACCTTATTAAACATTTCTTACAATATAAGTTGCTTTGCTTTGTGCTAATACTTTCTCTTTAATTCTATAAACAGACATAATTCCTTGTTCAGTTACATAGTCCCACTGTTGAAGTCCTGTAACTGCTGTGTCCAGAATTCTGACTAACATGTCAATCGAAATTTTTTCAATAACCTCTCTGTCACTTTCTTCACTTTCGATAGCGGTATTTTCTGGATCTAGAACTATACTACAGATTTTGCCAACAGTTATTTAATTGATGATTCGGGCATTGTCATTGCAATGAAAAACTTCTGTTATATCATCTTCATTTATTACCACCTCTCCATATTTCTTTACAATTGGAAAATTTCTCCTTTTTTTGCGATATCCGAAAACTTTCAAATTCGTGACTATCATTATCTCCATCATCCTCACCATAAAATATGGTAGTTGGCCATAAATTATTCCAAGTATTTTTAAAAGTATCTGGAGACACATCCTCCTACAATCTTGCGATGCTCCACACAGAAGATTTTAAGCTAGAATATTTTTTAAATTCTTGAAAAGTCTTGCCATTGTTCAAGAAATTTAACATATTTTCAAAATGCTACTTTATATTTGCGTTTTAGCTCGACCACTATTCCCATATTCATAGGCTGAATGATGGACGTACAATTTGGAGGAAAGAATAATACGGATACATTATCTTTCACTAAAACTTTAAGTGAAGTTATGACCTGAACAGTTATCTACAATCAAGACAATTTTTGAATCAGGTAAGCCAACTGAATTCAAATGCTGTCAAGCCTCGGGTATAAAATGATATTCAAACCAATCATTCATTAATGCTTGTCTCATCCATGCTCTTTTATTTGCACAATATATAATGATGAAAATTGTTAGTCCTTTAAATGCTTGAGGTTGTATATTTTTTCGATTATGAAAAGTTTGCACTTGTCCATTCCTGCAGCATTTATGCACCCTAAAATAGTTAATGTTGCTTTGGAAAGTTTGACACCATTTGGAGCCTTTTTTGCAGAGGTTGCCAGGTATTTCACTGTATAAATTGCCAGAAAAGACCAGTTTTATCAACATTGTAAATTTGTTTTGGAGATAATTTTTCACAAGTAAGGAGTTTAATGAATTCATCTGCAAATAGTTCAGCAGCTTCAGTATCAGCTGAAGCTTTTTAACATGAAACATTTAATTGCCTTATACCATGTGGATTTTTAAATTTAGTTAACCAACCTGTCCAATATGCCATTAGCATTGGATTCGTCAATGGCACGCCCTCGCTCTCTGACCCATTCAATCATCACTTTGTCATGATCGTCACTTATAGTATAATGAACAATTTTTTGTTATTCATTGTGAAGGGGGTGTCGAAATCTACAAAAAATTCATTTTTCTTTTTTTTTATGTCATATACAGTTGACTTTCCAATGCCATACTACTCGCATAATTTTGAGATGGATATGCCTTTATCCCTTTTTTGCAGCAATTCCATTTTGGTTTAAAGTACATAGAAATATGTGTTTTCCTTGTAGATCCTTTTGCTCCAGAATTGGAAACTCTTTTCGACATAACCAAAAATTCAGGCTTTAATTTTCATAAAATTGCTGTAATAATAACAGTCTACAAAAAATAATAACCTGGATCAAATTAGAAGAATAAGGAGCAGCACAGTCTGTTACATTAAATGAAATTCTTTAGAATCAGTAAAGATAATTTTAGCATAGCTTAATAGTGTCCGCTATAAAATTATTGTCTATGTATCATAAGGTCGATGATGACAAGTTGCCCTGCTAAATTTTATCTTCCTTCTCTAGCGTACTGAATTAAGCCTGAACTGTATTAGTTTAGTTATTTATTATACCTACGTATATTTCTTGCACATGATCAAGGCTAATCTGAGTCCTGAGAAAACAAACTTCCACATATATGTACTTAAGGCTTATGTAGGGCCAGCGCTAGATACTGCCTGATGCAGTCTCTGAGGGTCCTAAATTCTGCTACAAAGCGCCTCCCTACGTTCTAAATTTTTGCTGCCCCTAAACTTTGGATCCCAGTGCTTTCCCTAAATTATAAAAAAATTCTCACCCCTTAAATTTGCTGCTTGGTGCTTCTCCAAATTCCAAAAAATTTATCTTCCTTAAATTCTGCCACCCGGGTGCAGCCATACGAGCTCTGAAGCCTGTTCTGGGTTTATGTGAATAACACATCAGTTATTCTTAATTCAAACTGCATTAAAAGTAATCTTTTGGCCTATGAGTTTCATTAACAAAATCTATTTTTAGCAAATGAAAAGAAATTTTTGTTGAATTTTTCCTCATCAACATTTCTTTGCACATTTAATTGTAATCATCACCAAGCATAATATCAGCATAAACAGTTACTAATATATATAAAAATTACTAATATATATAAAAAATTACTAATATATATAAAAAAATTTAGACATCACTGCATGAGTCAAGTTATCCTGTGTTGATAAACATGCGGTGATGAAAGCAAAATAAAATAAATAATGATTCACCAGGTCGACGTCAGGGATATAAAATAATAGTAGGCATAAAATCAACAATGTTCCTACATAGAATGTTTCGGTTTGAGATATATGTCAAGCAGATATGCCGCTATGGAGCCAAATTATTGATCCCACAATTTTATGCTTAAATGATTGCTTCCTCAATAACGAGATATTTTATTTAGAGCCCAAGTGAAATTAAGGATTGTGCTCTCCACATGTTTTATTATAGAAGGAAAAATTAAATGCGCATGGGTAAAAAAATGTGACGAATATTAAAAGAAGAAAGCTAAGCCGGAAAATTAAAAATACAAGAGCATGTGCATTTAACATTAAATAAATATGTCTTTTTGATTTCGAGAAAGTACCAGAAAATTCTCGCATGCAATTTAAAAATCTTATAAAAGGAGGAAAACCTCTCAGTTTGTAGTAGTTACGTAGTTTGTTGTTGTTTAGAAGATTGCTCTTGTTGACTGTAGCGGATTAGCTTCCTTTAGCTGTTTTGAATTACGTTCTATTGGACATTTGAGTAGTTAAAAGATAGCAACTGTGAGATATTGTAATACTGCATGATAATTTGAGAAAATTTAAGCATTTTTGTTGTGATAATAATAAACTTTTGTTCATTTTTCATCGGACTTGTGCATTCATTTCATAACGAACCCGTACAGTTAAGACAGCTGATATCAGCCTTGCTGCATTTAAAGAGCAATAAAGCGGGACAAAAGAAATGAAAGATGAGAAATCTGTTAAAAAGTTGGAAGCTGGTCAAGTAATGTTAAAGAAGACATAAAAGCTGTACAGGAAACATTGAAGCAGGGCAAGACAAAATGAAAAGAAATAACCTGCGTAATAGAAAGTAAATTGAGGCTATGGAAGACAGAAGGAGCTGTCGAAATAAATCGGGCAATTGAAGAAGGTTCTTCTGTCAAAGATAAATAGAGATAGAGTGTCGGCTGTGAAGCAACGAGACGAAGGAAGAGTTTTCGGCCTTCCAACAACAAATTGAAGAAAGATTTTCTGCGTCCAAGGACATATGAACAACAAATCGAAGACAGACTTTCTGCTGTCGTCGCCAAAGAAGTTGACACTTTAAGAAATTCATAGCGACTTCAGGGAGCACTTCGGTGGTTTAAAATTTTACCCATGCCTGCTCGTCCCTCTCTGAAGCTATCGCATATGATGGGAAGACTCCTGGCGGTGTATAAGACCAATTTTCTATCGGCGTGGGAATTGATGGGATTCCCAGCTAAGGCCTGTCATCTCGCCGCTTCTTTAAGAGCCGACGCAGCAGATATTCTTCATCTCTTCCCGAAAACAAAAGATTAGATTTCGAAGCTCTCCGGCACCTTGGAGCTGCGCTTCAGGAAGAATG